ATTATCGTGGTAAACACCAAATTTATTTTCTTCTTTCTTTTTCACAAAAAATATTAAAATTCTCCTCCTTATTTCTCCTTACATAAATTAGAAACACTCAATTTTCCCTCTTCTTTCTCTTCCATTTGAAGAACCAAATTTCCCTATTCTTTCCTTCCTTTCACAAAAAGTTGAAAACTCAAAATTTTCCTCATTCTCTTTCATAATCAAAAGAACCTAACTTTCCCACTTCTTCACTTTACACAAATCAAAACCACCAAAATTCACCCTTTTTCTTTTCTAAAAAATTCAAAGAACATAATTTTTCTCTTTTTTCTTTTCCCAAAAAGTTGAATACACCAAAAATTTCCTATTCTTTTGAAAGCATCAAATTATCAAATATATTATTTTTCTTTATTTATATTTAATTGATAAATTTATTGAACCCTTCGTACGTAATCGTCAACCGAATGTTTGGTCGAACCTAGACTCAAATGTTGGGGTGTTACAAAAAGATTGGGCTATTTTCATCTCAAATACTAGGTCACTTAGTGGTAGACAAAGAAACTCTAGATTGCAGATTCACACAAGGACCTTATAGTAGGGGTGGTGGCTATTTGGTCCGGACATTTTGATTTTACCCGAGACCGGACCGAGACCCGACCAGGACCGGATAGCAAACAATCCAATCTCATTTTTTGGCTTAGATTTAAGGTAAAAAACCATTTGGGACCGGACCAAAAACCGGATAAGAGAGTCCGACACCCAGAATTTCAAAACTTAACCAACTCCTCACCCTATGAGGTCTAAGGCCACTCAAATCCCCACAAGCTCAATCTAAAATCAAGACCGAATTGGGACCGGACCGGGTCAAGACCGGAGTGTATCCAATCCAATCTTTGGTCCTTATATTCTCGAAAAGACCGGACCAGGACCAGATCAATTTGGGCCAATTTTACCGGACCGGATCGTATAGCCACTCTTGCCTTATAGTTTCTTTTGTGTGTAATATAAGGACCATTTTTTAAGGGTGAAACTATGTGTCTATGTCTTCAATGAAACTTTGAGGTCGTTTGCTTGTTAGATTTGAGTCATGTATTTGAGACCCATATCACAAATCTCATGGATAACCCTAAATTTTTATATATTTTTTCTTGTTTGCTTGTTAGACTCAAATCTATGATGGACCCACAATTTGAACTCTTTTGGAACCAAATTCTTGGACCCACAGATTTGTAAATCCAACACTCCCTTAGGAATTTGGGTGAGGAAACCAAATTCGTGGTGAAGAATTACAACTATTTTCAACTTATACGAATTGAAAAACAAAGTAAGTATAGAAATATACATAACCATTTCAAGTCATTACGGAAAAAATACCATTTATAGCTATAAATCCATCACTCCAAAATCCATAAACATATCAAACATTTTTTTTTTAAATCCCATAATGAACGAAATCTCTAATAAACCTTTGATTTTCCAAAACCTTCATTTTTATTTTTTTCATTGAATCAAAACCTTCATTTTTACTAAAACTCTCATTCTACAAATTTAAGAAGCAAACAAACTCAAAGTAGAATTGTAGATTTGAATGTAAGACTGCCTAAGGTGATCAAACACTTAAACCACAAACTTCAAAAGTTTCTTTCAATGAATCATGGATGTCCTATTTCGTAATGGATATGTGTCCAAACTTTTGTAAGTATAATAAATTTAAAATGATCATAGCATCAATTTGTAATTTGTTTCTAATGTTGTTTGAAGTAAATTATCTACTAGGTCTTTAATTTCTCGCTTTTTCCAAAAATTTATTTTCAATAGCTAAACTACTAAATATTTCTTGTATTATTTAAGAACTAAAATAGGACTTTTAGAACACAAAGAGTACTTATTATTCAATATGTGCATGTATTTCAACGAATCATAACTGTCAAGTTTTGTTTCTAATTAAATTAATCTTAGTGTATAAGATTTATAGAATTAAGGCCTAAATTTTAATCTTTAAGGATTAGGGTATGATATCATGTATCAAACTCTGGTCAATTGAAGGTCTAAATATCATTTCCTTACTCAATGTATGTAATACTTTTGATTTTACTCAAAATATGATAGAACCATCCATAATATATATGTGGTAAAGACCATTATACTTTAGGAGTATAATATACTCCTCGTGATCTGATTGTTAGATGTACTTTTATGGGCTTCGACTAATCTTAATAATCCGTTATTATTTTCTATTAAATTGAACTTTGGGTTTGAGTTTAGAGAACATATATAGTTCAGAATTGCGTACGTCTGGCTATGAATCGTATGCCTAATGAGTTTTGCTATTCATAATATTAATTAACAATTGTTTGAGAATTATATCATACCTTAACCTCTAATGAATGAACCTAGATCTTAATTCTCTATACTCAAGTCATAATTAAGATCACAAACTCACAAACCTCTATGGACGTCGTCGCTAGGGCTGGGAAAATAGACCAGACCGTTTGAAAAACTGTGGACCAAACCGGACCGCACAGTTTGGTCCAGACCGTATTATATGAAGTTTTGATCTGGTCTGGTCCATGGTCTGTATTATATGAAGTTTTGATCTCTTGGTCTGGTCTGGTCTAGACCGCGGTTTACCGGACCGAACCGTATACCTAACGTAGACAAAGTGACAAACACGCAAGTCCAGGCCCAGTCAAGCAATTCCTTCTCAGTTCTGACTTTGTCTTCCATTACGCCCGCCTTTCTCATTCTAAGAAATCCTAACCTAATTCTCTTCGGGAAAACATGGCGGCATCTCCCGATCCCGACTCCCCAGTCCTTGGCAGCGTCTCCTGTCTCTTCCTCCCGGTCGAGTCCTGCTTCATGCGTGTAGCAGTTGCAGCATCCTGCATCCCTTAGGCTTCCATCCGCACTCAATTCCCGATGCAAGGAGAAGAAGAAACCAGGGTATGCAATTCAAACCCGAAGTCTCTCTTCCTCAAAATTTTTGTCTGGGTTGTTTGTGTCTCTCGATAAACAGATATTCATAAATACAAACTGTCAAGTTGTGAACATCCTTTAAAAGAATTTCCATCTGAGAGCATAGTCACAATCATTCACATGAGCTTTTCTAGTCTCCATGCATCTATTTTAATATTAACTAGAGCCATACGTGCATGTATATATATGTTTCAACTGCAATTGACAGCACAATCACCATCATCAACGTGAGTTTTGTAAGTTCCAGTGTCCATGCAATATTTGATTTCATGTGTTGCTTTACTGTTTCAATTTAATAATTTTATATTAGGTTAATAAAAGAGCTCGTCCTGAGGACAAAGCTAGTGATGCCACCAATAATATGCCGCCACTACAAGTAAAAGTAGCAGCAACAACTTCGGAGCTTGTCCAAGATGCCGAGGACATCCGTATATGGGGCAAGTTGAAGGCACCAGTGTGGAAAGAGTACAAGAGATACATTGAAAATGGGATGAAGAGGGCCAGTTGTCTCATTTGTGCACAAAACTTTGCTGCTAATCCAGCTTATAATGGTACGTCTACTTTAAAAACTCATTGGCTGAGTTGCAAGAAGAAATTGGAGGAGTCAAGTGGTCAAATGAATTTAACTTTCAATGATGGCCAAGGAACTCTTACAACTTGGAAATTCGATCAAAGTTGGGCGAGAGGAGGTTTGGTTGAAATGATAATTCTAGATGAATTGCCCTTTAGATTTGTTGAGAAGGAAGGGTTTAGGAGGTTTATGGCACGAGTATGCCCCATGTTTAAGATTCCTTGTAGGAAAACTATTAGAGAAGATTGTTTTAGATTGTTTCTTGAAGAAAGAGGCAAACTGAAAGAATACTTCAAGAAAAAGTGTGATGGAAGGGTGTCAATTACGACTGATTCTTGGACTTCTAACCAAAACTACAACTACATGTGTATCATTGCTCACTTTGTTGGAAATGATTGGAAGCTGCATAAGAAGATTATCAATTTCAGCAAAATTACAAGTCATAAGGGGAAAGACATTGGGGAGGCAATTGCATGTTGTTTAGAAGAATGGGGTTTGAAGAGCATCTTTTCTATCACAGTTGACAATGCTAGTTCCAATGACACTGCAGTCAATTATATGAGGAACAAGCTTGAAGCATGGGGTACTAGTGTTGTAGGTGGGAAGTACCTACACATGCGTTGTTTTGCTCATATTACTAATCTGATTGTCTCTGATGGTTTGGAGGATATAGACCTCTCTGTTTGGAGAGTGAGAGAGGCAGTGAGATGGGTTCGATCTTCACCCTCTAGATTGACCAAGTTCAAAGAATGTGTGGCATTTAATGACATTGAAATGAAGAAGATGTTGTGCTTAGATGTGCCAACTAGATGGAATTCTACTTTTTTCATGTTGGAAGCAGCTGTGGCTTATGAGGATGCTTTCCATGCTCTAGTGAGGAAAGATAAGGATTACTTGCCTGATCTTAAAGCCAAAAAGTTCAGAAATGAAGAAATAGGGATCCCACAACAATCTTATTGGAAGTGTGCTAGGATTGTGCTGACATATTTGAAGTTTTTTCATGATTTGACATTGCTTGCATCTTCCACTTCTCATACAAGATCTCACATATTCTTGAAGGCAATTGGTGATGTATTCTACCACATTGGTAGAATGAGTTGTAGCAATGATGATGATGTGGGAAGGATGGGAAAGAAAATGAAAGAGAAGTTTGATAAGTATTGGTCTGAGAGGGAGGGGGAGAATCATAGATTGAATCGATTGATTTACATAGCTGTTGTGCTTGATCCAAGGTACAAAATGAGCTATCCAGGACATTTTTTGAAGAAGCTGTATGGGGAGACAAGGGGAAAGGAAATGGTAAAAGATTTAAATGGTGAACTTGTTGAATTGTTTGAGTATTATGCAGGAAGGGTGAGGCCGCCTCCTCCACCACCACATACAGAAAATGAGGTTGTGCATGCTTCTAGTTCTAGTTCTTTGAGGCCAGTTTTTGAAGATGGTGGTGAAGTATATCTTGGATTTGATTCAGATTTCATACTACCTGAAGTTTGTCAATTCAAAACTGAGTTGGACATGTATCTTGGTCATCCTTGTGAAGGTAGTGGATCTGGAGGAACCCAATCCGAGTTTGATGTATTGAAGTGGTGGATGGCAAATCATTCAAGGTATTGATAACGATATAATTACATAATTTTATACCCCTATTTCTTATCCATTTGCGGAGCATGGTTGTGTGTTTTGGCCTATTTTACGCCGGGTTGTGCTACTTTGTCCTATTTCAGGTCCCAGGCGTCAAAGGGAAGGCCAAGCACGAGTTTCGGATCGTTTGGAAGGCGTTTGGACAAGCCAGGGCCAAAACACGGGCAGGAGGCCTCAGAACACGGCCGTGTTCCTGCCCGTGCTTTTATGGCCGAGACTTTGCAAGTGTGGCTTGAACCACCTAAAAAACACGGGCAGGCCTGAGGAAAACACGGCCGTGTTTTAGCCTGAACACGACCGTGTTTTCAAGCTGCCCGTGGCCGTGCTTTTAAGGCTGAGGCAAAACACGGGCGGGCTGAGGCAAAGCACGGCCGTGCCCTCGACCGTGCTTTGGCCAATGATGCCCTTTTAGGCAGATTTTCAGCCAAAGAGAAGGGGATTCGAGTTTTAGAGAGACAGAGCGATTCCTAGAGAGAGAAAGCGACGAACAAGAGCCTCCAAGTGCCCTAGATCGATCTTCAACACCATTGGAGCTTGGTTTGAGCTTGGAGAAGTGCCGATTCAACGTCCAGGAGCAGAGATCCATCTTCACAGTATGATTTCCGCATCTGATTCTGCTTTTGCTTCTCTCTCCATGGAGTAGTTCTCCCATTCATCTGGGTATGGGAAACCCTAGTTCTGTATGTTGAGATTGATTGTATGAACCCAAGTACTGTTTCTATGAATTGATTATATTCGATTGAGGTTTGAATGATTGAATGACTTGAATCCTGATCAAATTCCTGTTGTTTCTGCTTTAGCCTAGAATGAGAATATCTGACTAGGTTGATAGAGCATCCTTGATTGAAGGTAGGGAGTTGGTGACTTTAGTCGAGGAACCAACTCACTATTCTGTACCGGTTTTACTCCGGTAATGGAGGTTTTGTTCTTAGGGCCTCAATCTGTTTACTCCGGTGTAGGTTAGTCGCCAGCTAGAGACTCAGATTGAGAGGGTCTGGAGACCTTTAGTCGAGACTTCAGACTGTTTAAGAACCTTCCGCAGTATAACTATCATAGAAATTGAACTTGGTAATTACAATCCGGCTTAACTGCAGACTAGGGGGAACCATATCCGGGTGACCTCTCTTAACCTGAAAACAACCGTTTGAGTTACTTTGCTTGCTTGTCAGTTTAGAACTTCACTAAAGTTGCCTCGCTAGATAATACGAATTCACTAAGTAGTCATCACATCTAGGACCCGGGTTGACATTAAAACCCGACCTGCTATACTACGCTTTAGGAAGTGGTTATACTTGGCCATTTTCTAGAGTGACAGTAACAGCGAGTCAAGTTTTTGGCGCCGTTGCCGGGGACGGCTAGGTTGTTGAAGAAAAGTGATTTCTGTTACTTTAGCATTTTCATTTTTTGCATTGAGTTTTTGTTTTTCCCACTTGTGCCTTCACGGGTTGCTTTGCTTGATTGTGTGCAGATAGTGCATGACCCGTAGCCAGTCGGGAGGTTTACTGCCGTTGAATCCTGAGATTGAGCGCACCTGCAAACAACTTCGGAGACAACAGCAAGTTAGACTGGCTACGGTGGAGCGCCGAGACGGCCAATTGACCAGCGACTCCGAGGACGAGCACGAGATGGAAGGCGATCAGAACCCGCCTCCTCAGAACCAGATCCTGGGGAACGACCAACATCCCCAGGGAGCTGGCCACCATCATCATCCACCACCACCGGGTCCCACCTTGGAGTACTACTATACTCCACGGATTGCTGACATCCGCCCGGTCATCCTCTATCCACCCATCCCTGCAAACAACTTCGAGATCAAGCCATGCTGGATCCAACTCATCACATCCTCTATCCAGTTCCATGGCTTGAAGGATGAGGAAGCCCGGGTACACCTTTCCCGTTTTCTGCAGCTGACGAACGGGTTCAAGCTGAATGGTGTTCCGGATGATGCAATCCGCCTTCACCTCTTCCCCCATTCTCTGGCGGGGAATGCTAAGAGGTGGTTGGAGACCCAGCCCCCATTGTCCATCACCTCTTGGGACGATTTGGCTGACAAGTTCGTGCACCGGTATTATCCGGCATCGAAGACCACGGAGATACAGCGGGAGATCACTCACTTCCGCCAAGAGCCAGATGAGTCCCTTCGTGATGCATGGGAGCGGTACATGGGATACTTCTGGCAGTGTCCCCATCACGGTTTCAGCGATGCTTTCACAGTAGGGAACTTCTACAGCGCCCTCACTCCAGATAGCCAGAGGGTGATCGAGTCTCTATGCCCAAGAGGGGATATTCTCACTAAGACTCCACCCGAGCTGAACCAGATGATCAGTACCTTGGCTGCCCGCGATCATTCTTGGGGACAGAGCAGCAGGGGCAGGAATGCCCGGGACCAGGGTGTGCATGCTATTGAGGCCAGATCTGGGTTAGAGCAGCAGGTGGCTGAGTTGGTGCAGACATTGAAGCAGCCTAACAGTCTCCTTCCGGGCCGAGGTGTAGCTACGCCTCCAGTAGCTCAGTGTTAGTGGTGTGAGAGCCCAAATCACCTGGTGGAGGATTGTCAGTCTATGAGGGAGTCTTCTACTCCCCAAGAGCAGGTGGACTTGATAGCAAATGCTCGGCGCCTGGACCCATACAGCAACACCTACAATGAGGGATGGCGCCAGCATCCCAACTTTGCCTGGAGCAATAACACCGCCAAGCCACCTGGTTTCCCAGCACCAGCAGGTGGCTTCCAGCAGAGGCAGCCCTTCCAGGCTAGGCAGGGGCCACCACCACAGCAGCAGCCTTACCAGCCTAGGCAAGGGCAGCCATTCCAGCAGCCTTAGCGTCAGTATGCCGAGCCCGCAGCAGTGCCAGCTCCCGATACTCAGATATCCGAGCTGAAGAACATTTTGGCAGCATTCATGACCACCAGCCAGGCAAGTATCACGAGGATGGATCAGTCCATAGCCTCACTGGAGGCAGGCCAGAGAACCCTGGAGGCAGGCCAGAGGAACCAAGGTGCCATTCTGCAGGATCTTCAGAACCAGATTGGGAGCCTAGCTCGCCAGAACACTACCAGGGCACCGGTGACTCTGCCTGCCACCACCATCCCCAATCCACGGGACCCGCATGAGACTGCACACGCCATCACCACCAGGAGTGGCAAGACTACATCTGCTGCTCCTGCCCAGCCCAAGCGAGACAACCCACTACCTGCTTCAACACCTCCAGCTGATACTGCAGAGGTGGGGGAAGGCAGCACAGCACCTGCTCCAAAGCCGCAACCTGTGGTTAAGGAGCATACACCCCAGCTGCCCTTCCCCACTCGACTCCATAGAGACAGGCTGGAGACAGAGTTTGCCAAGTTCATGGCAATGTTGAAGCAGGTCAACATCAGCATGCCGTTCGTGGAGGCACTGTCGAAGATGCCCAAGTATGCCAAGTTCATGAAAGACCTCCTCACCAACAAGAAGAAACTTGGGGATCTTTCGACAGTGATGCTTAGCGAGGAGTGTTCTGCCATCCTGCAGAACAAGCTGCCAGAGAAGCGCAAAGACCCAGGGAGTTTCACTATCCCTCTTGTTATTGGCAGCATGCATGTAGGAAAGTCCTTGGCGGACCTAGGCGCTAGCATTAATGTCATGCCCTATAAACTGTTTAAGAAGTTAGACCTAGGTGAACCTAGAGCTACTAGGATGAGCATTCAGTTAGCTGATCGTTCTATCGTGCATCCTAGGGGTATCATTGAGGACTTGCTTGTTAATGTTGGCGCATTCACATATCCTGTTGATTTTGTTATTTTGGATATAAATGAGGATGTGGATGTGCCTTTGATTTTGGGTAGACCATTTCTCGCCACCGCCAAGGCGCTTATTGATGTGCATAGTGGTAAATTGATTCTGCGTGCTGGTGATGAACAGGCTACTTTTTCTGTGTCTGACAATGGGAAACATTCTCATTTGCATGATGACATAGACTACTGTGATGTGCTTGCCGATTTTGAGACCGCACTCGCCATCACGAGTGCGGGTACTGATGATGCTCTTGAGCGTTGTATTTTGCTAGGTGAGCAGGCATTGCAGGAGCCGCAACTGGCGGAGCAGTTGGCCGCATTGGAGAGTGGCCCCTTCTTGGAGGGCGACAGGCTGTTTAAACCGATCTCATCCTCCACCCGCATCACCACTTCTTTGGAGGAACCACCAGAGCTGGAGCTTAAGCCCCTCCCTCCTCATTTGGAGTATGCATTTCTCCGGGAGGGGAATAAGCTGCCAGTTATCATCAGCTCGACCCTCACACCCGAGCAGAAGACCAGACTGGTGGCCTTGCTAAAGCAGTACGAGCGAGCTTTGGCATGGAAGATCACAGATATCCGGGGGATCAGCCCCTCCTTTTGCTCGCACCGGATACTGATGGAGGATGAGATGCGGCCAGTGAGACAGCCGCAGAGGCGATTGACGCCGAACCTGGAGGCTGTGGTTCGGGCAGAGATCGTAAAGCTGATGGACGCGGGGATCATCTTCGCCATTTCTGACAGCGAGTGGGTCAGTCCCACCCAGGTGGTGCCCAAAAAGGGTGGGATGACCGTGGTGCCTAACGAGAAGAACGAGCTCATCCCGATGCGCACGGTGACTGGGTACCGTGTCTGCATCGACTATCGGCGTCTCAACGACGCTACTCGGAAGGACCATTTCCCACTACCGTTCATTGATCAGATGCTGGAGAGATTGGCGGGGCACGAGTTCTATTGCTTCTTGGATGGGATGTCCGGGTACTTTCAGATCCCTATTGCACCGGAGGACCAGGCGAAGACCACTTTCACCTGCCCTTTCGGCACATTTGCTTACCGGAGGATTCCATTCGGGCTATGCAATGCCCCAGCCACTTTTCAGCGCTGCATGCTCGCCATCTTTGACCTTCTGGTCGGCGAGATCATGGAGGTGTTTATGGACGATTTCTCGGTTTATGGAGACTCCTTCTCTCACTGTCT